AGGAAACTCCAAAAGAGGTCCTCTGAAATGTTGCATCATCTTGGCCATCCACTCCTATCAGAGATTTTTGATAGGGGTCTTCCTTGATCAAACCTGATTTTTCTTAACCCAGAATGTTAAGCCTCTCATTTCCTATAGAAACAAAAGAAAAACCTCCTCTCCAAAGTAACATATCTTTTGACTTAAATTTTGAAGTCAGGGCATTTTCAAAATACATGTTGGATTAATTCAGCACTATTTATAATCAAATATCTTTTAACAGCTGTTGCTCCCTCCTCAACAGTCCTACAATTCAAGGACAACACAATAACATATTTTCCATCTTTACGTGGCTTTATTTTAAACTCTATTTCTTTTATTTTTAATTTTTGGTTTTTTTTTTTTGAGATATAGTTTCTCTGTGTATCTTTGACTGTCCTGGAACTAGCTCTTAAAGACCAGGCTGTCCTTAAACTCACAGAGATCTGCCTGTCTCTGACTCCAAAGTGCTGGGATTAAAGGTGTGTGCCACCACACCCAACTACTTTTTTCTTTTTTTTAAGGACTTTATCCTTTTTCTTTTCTCTCCTAAGCCTACATATATTTTTAAACACACTATAAACTGTTTAGAGGGGTTTTTGTCCGTCTGAATCTATCTTTACTGTATATCTCTCTTTTTCTCACCATGAGTCTTTAATTTGTTAAGCAATATGGCTAGGATTAAAGCTGTGACTTTGACAGCAGGATCCTCTCCATTCCTTAGTTTTCTGAGAGTCTAGCTTCATGGCACAGTCACTGGTGAAAGCCTTGTTTATTGCCACAGCTCTATGGAGTTTCAAGGTCCCTTCTAAAATCAAGAAGCATGCTGTCGGCTGTTCATCAACACCATTTAAGTGCTTTATGGCAGAGCCTCTTAAAAGGGCTGCAAGGTTTTTGCAGCTAATGGTGAATCAGAAAGCTTCTCTTAAATGAGATGTTCTTGCCTCTAGCAAACAGAGCACACCTGAGAAAATGTTGCTACCATGAAGCTGTGTGTAACTCTGTTCTTTTGTGTCTAGAATTACTTCCCAAGCTCTCTCAGGTTTTATGTGAATGTAGTTGTTCACATTGGCACCATTTGTTGACAGAAAGAAGAGTTATGGATATCATCAAAATTAATAAAGATTTGACTTGAAGAGGAGAAACCTTTTGAGACAGAAGTGACAGCTCATCCACAGAGGTGACAATTATATAGCTGGTAAGGAAACCTCATAAGGGTTGGGGCAGGGCTCTGTTCTTGTCTTTGCAGGAAAATACTCATCTTCAGAAAGTCAAGAGACCCTGGACATTTGGATGCCTAAAGAGGAGAAGATAACTATCCAGAAAAGATCACCGAACAAAGAGGAATATGACTTATGAGGACAGGTCATCTGCAGGGTAAAATTTCATATGTACATTCTCCGTACCTATATATAAATATCTAATACTAAGTAGTAATACAAACTCACTTAAAAATCAAAGCTGGTTTTGGAGTTGGACAATCCTTCTCTAAATTCTAACATGTTGTTAAAAGAAAAATTCAGAGTTTCTCTCTCATGTAAGGAACCATCTGATATGGATGAAGAAAGAAGAAAGAATTTAGGAAAAATTTTTACTTTTCTCCATACCTATTTTGTCTATATTATATCTTTCATTGAATATATATCTATATGAATAATGTTTAAAGTTTTCCACAATGAACAATAGATTTTCCTGCAGTAATCTTTGAAGTTTACAGGAGGAAGATGGGGCCCCACAACAATGACTCTACCTGGTTGATATGACATCATGATGCTGATAGTGCTTCTTTAAGACCAGTTTTGGGTATCAGCTGCTCAAGATGGGTCCAACTTGGTTAGCTGAAATGGTGCACCTTCTTACAATGTTCTGGCAAGAACTCCAAATATGAATATGGTATGTACTCACTCATTAGTGGACTCTAGCCATAAACAAAGGACATTGAGCCTACAGTTCTCAGTCCAATAGAAGCTAAGTAATACGGTGAACCCAAAGAAAAACATATATAGATCCTCCTGGAAATTGGAAGCAGACAAGATCGCCAGGCAAAAGTTGGGAGCATGGGGGTGAGGGTAGGGTGAGGGGAAGGGGACGGGGGGGGGGGGAGAAAGAAGGGAGAAGGGAAGGGTTGGGGAGAGCTTGGAAGAATGGGATGGTTGAGATGGAGGAAAGATGGATATGGGAGCAGGGAAGGAAATAATTGAGGGAGCCATGTTGGGGTTGGCAAGAGGCTTGGCTCTGGAGGGGTTCCCAGGAGTCCACGGGAATGATTCCAGCTAGGACCCTGGGCAGTGGAAGATAGGGTGCCTGAACTGGTCTTGTCTCATAGTCAGACTGATGACTATCTTGAATATCACCATAGAACCTTCATCCGGCGACAGATGGAGACAGACACAGAGACCCACATCGGAACACTGGACTGAGCTCCCAAGGTCCAGTTGAAGAGCGGAAGGAGGGAGAATATGAGCAAGGAAGTAAGAACCATGAGGGATTGGTCCACCCACTGAGGCAGTGTGCCTGAGCTAATGGGAGCTCACCAAATCCAGCTGGACTGGGACTGAATGAGCATGGGATCAAACTGGACCCTGTGAATTGTCAGTCTGACAATTGGGGCAGACTGAGAAATCAATGATACTGGCACTGGGATTTGTCTCTACTGCATATACTGACTTTTTAGGATCTTATTCTATTTGGATACCTTCCTAAGCCTGGATGGAGGTGGGGGAGGAGGGGGCTTGGACTTTCCACAGGGCAGGACACCCTGACTCTAAGATGTTGTAGAGGCTACCTGTCAAGAAGAGTTGCTAATAGCGGTTGGAACCAGCCCAAGAGAGAGAAGTGTGTTGCAGTCAGCTAGGCTGAGAGGAGCTGGAGATCTGAAGAGACCTTTGGCACTAGTCACAAATACAATCCAGCTTCATCTTCACAGCCACACACAATGACCTCTCTAAACCTCCATGACGCACGCCTTCCCTCAGTGGCTTTCCTTAGTCATGGAGGAAGGTTCCACAGCCCCTGCCTTGTATCCTTGACTCTAAAGACAGAACCACATTGCCAAAGCTGCCTAGTTCTGTTACTTGCTGGGGCTGGAACTTGGCTCCCTCCTTTAATTATACTTGCATCACCTTTCTGTTGTTGATGGCTTCCCTCACTGCTTAAGCTTTCTTTTAATTCTTTTTTCTAAGTTGGAAGTTTAACTGGGTGGGGTCTTGCGCTGCCTCACAACTACCTTTATCCCATTTAGAACCAGGCTTTTCTTTAAACTCTTTATCTGGAATCTGGACTGCAGCAACTCCCAAGGGAGGGGAATTGGGATGGAACTTCCACCCAAACATTCCAGACTATTTGGATATATGGGTGCCAGGGACTGGGGTGATACTTTCAACCAAACATTCCAGACTCTTTTGGTATAGGAACACAGGGTCAAGTCTGGATACTTCCTTCAGGCATGGGGTAATGTAGGAGAGGGAAGAATCAGAATTTGGAGTTGGTGGGCTCACACTCAGCAGGAGGTGTGGCTGGAGAGGCATCCAGTTAACTGCCATCATGGAGACCTCAGGCATCTATTCCTTGAGGGAAATGGGAAGGCAGGTTGCTAGGGGAAAAAAATAGATTGTTATTATGGGCCTTATGAATGGGGCTAGCCATGGAAAGGGTCATTAACTGCCAGAAAGAATGGAACAGAGAAGTGCCCTGGTTACAGGAGAGACAAGGGTGAATGAATGAGATGAGACAGGTATGTCCTTTAAAACCAGGTTTCAGTTGCTGGGTAGGTCCCATTTGAGCCTGGAGAGGTTCAGGTGCAGGTATTATCTGGAGAGCCCTCTGCAGGTCAGTCTTGACCCAGACAGGAGTGACCTACAAGATATGCTTGAAAATAGGTGGGGTCAAATAGGCTCTGGAGACTGGTTTTACCAGACCAGATTTCTTGACAGCAGCAGAACTTTTCCCAGGAACTTGCAGAACAGATTTACATCTTGGTATCATAGCAAAAGGCTATGGCTCTGGGTTAAAATGCATGACCATTTTAGAAGACAACTAAGGGAAACTGGAAACTCTGATCCTCTGAAGAAACATCTGAAACCTGTTAATTTTGGACTATGTAAAAGGCACACCTGTCTGTATTTTTAGCAGGAAACTTAACAAATGAAGTAATGAGCTACCAGTACCCTAGTCATCAAATGCCATCAGACAGATCTGGGAGGGATAAGCAAATGAGCAGAAGTGAGACAGCTTTTTTAGCTACACAGGCAATCCCAAGTCTCTCCATGGTCTTTGGCAAACACCAGTCTTAGAAGCAGTACTTGTCTTTAGATGCTGAGCCCAGGAGACCTGACAGATTTTCTTGTATGGATAGCGCTCACTCTGCCTGTCTTGGCAGGATGAGATGATCAATCCCCCAATGTAGTGTCCAGGAAGCTGATGAGGTGGAAGGTAGTTTTTTGCTGTGTGGGTGGCTTTGCCATACCCAAAGGCAAGCCTCCAAGCAGAAGGTCTTCTATAACCATACATCTTCTTGGAGGAGCTATAGGATGCTGCAGGAACTGGCATATCTCTGTCCTAAGAAGCTCTTTTGTTAAATGCCATACTATAAGATCTGTAAAGGCACTTGAAAATTAGGGTACCATTACTTGTCAGGTGTATCTAAATTAGATATGCAAGTTAAATTTAGGCATATAGTTTACCCAATCAGTTACAGCTTACAAGTGTCAGTAGAGGCAAAATTAGAAGGAATATTTTAGTAAGCCAATGTATATTGGATGTAGAATATCTCCTTGGTAGGTCTAGCAAACATCGGTACTCTTACCAAAGATGGCACTGAGGTTTCTGTTTTGACCGCAACCAAAAATAATGGCTGTCTACATGCTTGTAGAGCTGTTGTAATCTGGAGTTATAAGTTTTACAGATCTTAAAACAAACACACATACACACAGAGACATAAAACAAGCATGCTGTGGCCATATTATTTACATATATATTAAAGGACAAACAAGCAAAAGTTTTCCAGGAATCTGTGTCAGCTGACCAACTTAAAACTCCTAGAGTTGGCTGCAGAAACCAGGTGAGCATGTAGGTGAGTCCACTGAGGGCCAGATCAGCAGGTGCTATAGGGGAGAACAGAAACATAAGCATGTAACACCTATGCAGTTTAGAGTGGGAGGATGGGGGATTGGATCCATTGCAGAGAGAATCCCAGCGTGACAAGATCACATGCCAGGATTGCAGACAAATAGCCAACAGTGAGATAACCAGGGAATGGGAGCAGGAAGAGGGAGCCAGAGTACAGCATCCAGAAACCATTGGCATATGGGAGTTTGTTTACTTGTCCCCACACTGGCAAAAAGTTTAGGCATCAAGGATATAGAGTTAGATAGTCCCCAATTTAAAAAGATTTTGTAAAAGACAACCCAAGGGCATTTGGGAATCAGGCCTCAAATTGTAGATATCCATTTTGCAAGTCTATGCTGGGACGCATAGCCTATCACAATGCATACATTGTGGTAGACTGTGGGTCAAAAAAAAAAACAGAAGGGTACAAGAAATACCTTGAACATCCGTCTCCTGAGAAAGGAATCTCACGGGACAAGGCAGGTCCTTGTGCTGGTAACAGGTCAGGAGCCTGGCGTGGTCGTGTCTTTCATAGGACAGCATGAAAATCACATGAGGCCCTGAGCACCTAAGGCAATGACTTGGAACTCAAAACTTATCCAGACGAAGCCAATCTTAGCCTGGCAGAGAGCAGGTCCAAGGGAGGGGTTTTCTTACCATGTGGCCCTGGAGCAGTAAGAAAATCAGCCTCTTGGTGGAACCTCCAAATGAAAAGTTTTTGCACCTCGATAAACCTCTCTGCCAATGCAACAATCTGAATCAGGCCAAATCAAACAAAATTAGAAAAAAGCCCAGTTTCAATGAATACTAATGTTTCCAAATGGCTTTCCAGCCCCACAGAGAGGAGACTGGAAAGAAAGGTCAGAAAACCACCTGTTTGTTCCTGGGTTGCTGTTTAAATACTCTGTGGGAGTGGTCTTGAGCATCTCTTGGGAGGGGTCATCATTTGGTGGGCTTTCTCTGGAGTAGAGTCTAGACTGAGGCAACTCCCAGGGGAGGGGGCTTGGGAAGGAACTTCTACCTGAACATTCCAGACCCTTTGACTATGTGGATACTAGGAACTGGGATAACACTTCCACCAATAAATACTAGGATGTCTCAAAACCTCCTCTGCCAGGACCATTAATCTAAAATGCTTCAATTTAGCCTCAGTCAGATTCTTCAGACAATGGCAGAAAACAACCACATTCTTTGCCAAAATATCACAAGAATGATCTCTATTAATATTCTTCCCCTCTGAAACCTCTTGAACCAAGCTTCAATAATCTACACTGCTTTCAGTACCACCGTCTTCCATGTCCCTACTAGTATGGCCCATTAAATACTGCTTAAAGCATTCAACTTCTTTCTTAACCCAAAGCCTCAACCAACAAGCAGCATGGTTAGGCTTGTTCCAACAGTACACTGCTGTCTGGTACCAACTCATGTCTTAATCAATGTTCTATGGCTGTGAAGAGACACCATCACCAAGACAGCTCTTATTAGAGAGAGAGAGAGAGAGAGAGAGAGAGAGAGAGAGAGAGAGAGAGAGATCGTTTAATTGGGAGCTTGCTTGTAGTTTCAGAAGTTCAGTCTTTAATCCCAGCACTCGGGAGGAAGAGGCAGGTGAATCTCTATGATTTTGTGGCCAGCCTGGTCTACAAGAGCTAGTTCCAGGAAAGGCTCCAAAGCTACAGAGAAACCCTGTCTCAAAAAACCAAAACAAAAAACAAAAAAACGCACATGTGTGGTTCCATCCACATATGATTCAGCTAAACCCTTGTGGACATGTGTAAATCGCCTGTCATCTGCATCATCAATGTGATGTAGTCACACCAACCCCCTGTGCTCATGTGCTAGGCAGCTTTTAAAAGCTGAACGCGCCATCTCTTGCTTTCTCTCTGCACACCAATCCCCAGGCCTGTATACACCCCCCTCTAATAAACTCCTAAGCAGGTGTGTTGGTGTTCCATGCCTCCTTCTCACTCATGCCAGGCAATTTTACATATATCCTGATCCACAGACTGAGGACAAGAGACTGGGCCTAGCTTGGGCTTTGCCACTCAAAGCCTACCCTCAGTGATACTCTTTCTCCAGCTTTGACAAAGCCGCATCTCCTAACTCTTCTAACCCTTTCAAAGAGTTCCAGTCCTGGTGACTAAGCATTCAAATAGATGAGCCTATGGGGAGCACTCTCATTCAAATCCCACATCTGGTAACTGAAGTGAAAATTTCACTATAGTAGCTCATGAGCAGATTTAGGCAGACAAAGGAAGATTCAGCAAACTAAGACTGGTTGACTAAAGCTATCCAGTATGGGTACAGAAAGAAAGAAAATGAGTAGCACCTCAGGGACCTGTAGGACATGATCAAAGCATCATCGTAACATCTTAGTTACAGTGTCTGTCGCTGTGATCAAACATCATGGCCAAAAGCCACTTAGGCAGGAAAGGATTTAGTTCACCTTACGGCTCCATATACAGTTGGAAATCATTGAGAGAAACCAGAGTAGGAAATCAAGGCATGAACATAGAGGGCATGGAGGAGTGCTGCTTACTGGCTTGTTCCCTGTGGTTTGCTCAGTTTGTTTTCTTAAACACCCCAAGAACACCTACTCAGGGGAGGTGTACACACACACATACACACAGAGGATGTACCCACTTACTTCAATCCATGATCAAGAAAATGCGCTACAGACTTGCCTACAGGCAATCAGATAGAGCAGTCTCTCAACTGAGGTTACTCATCCCGAAGACAGCAATTTGTGATAAACTGATCAAAAAGAAAAGAAAAAAATGAACCACGACATCACATATAATGGAAATCCAAAGAAGAGAAGAAAGAAGAATCATAGAAATTATTCAAAGACATAATGACCAAAAACTTTCCAAACCTGATATCAATCGTTATCTTATAAATCCAAGAAACCCAAAAAGGAAATAACTTCCCTAGAATTAATTATAGTGGTATTATATTATTTTACAACCATACCAAAGAGCCACTGACTTGTCATGGCTACATGAGCATATTGTATGGTAAGTAAATTACATCTCAATAAGGTTAGTTTTAGTTCATTTTACAGGGGAAATAAAGTACTGATTTATACTGCAGTGCTACAACATGAATGTTGCTTCAAAACATTCTGCTAGGCAAGGACAACAATTGTAACACCAGACAGGGAAGCAAGTAGGCTCACTGCAAATCTTCACCTCTCCATACTCTTTTAAAAATCCAAAGCCCCAGTTTGGCCCACCTCTGTAGTAGACCACATGCTGAGACCTCCATTCCTTCCTTATCCCATTTCCAGTAGACCACAGAAATCATAAACCTTTATTCCCCACACTCTTCGCTGCCCTGGTCCCAACTCCAGCAGGCATTCGCTGGGAACTCGCAGGACACTGTGGCCAGGAAAGATCTTCAGAGCCTCTTCAAAATCTCTTCAAAATTCAAGCCCCATTTTCCTGGTCATCTCTGTAGCAAAACAGCTATTATAGCCACTCCTCACAATCTGTCCTTGTACCCAGGAGACTAGGCAGATATTGTGAAACACCCTGCTTCCCCACCTCCAGCACACCCCCTGAGACACTGACTCTTCTAGCCCAGCCCCACTCTTAGGTGTCAGCTCCCAGAACTCCCAGTGGACACACCTAGCAGCATCCCAGAAGAATTCCCTCCCAGGCAACACAAAGCTGCCACACTCTCCTAAGCACCAGAGAGGGCAAGTGAAACCAAGGAATAAAACTCATACCCAACAAAGACAAGATCAGATATCAACACCTAGAACGGGACTCTTTCTGAACCCAGAAGTCTAGCCACCACTGTAAAAACACAGTCAATTACAGCCAGGACAGTATGTCTCCACTAGAGGCCAGCAACCCACCACAGTAGAATCTGAGTACATAACTGAAATACAAGACAAAGACCTTAAAACAGCCTTTATGAATATGTCAGATGTCCTTTAAAAGGCTATGATTGAATCCTATAAAGAAATCCATGAAAACAGAATCAAACAGGGGAAGGAAATGAATAAAAACCTGAAAGTAGAAAAAGAATCCATAAAGAAAGTTCAAACTGAGGGAAATCTGGAGATGAAAATTTAGAAGCTAAAACAAAAATCTCAGAGTCAAGCCTCACCAACAAAATACAAGAGATGGGAGAAATATAGAAGATACAAAAGAAGGAATGGATGTCTTGGTCAAAGAAAATGTTAACTCTAAAACATTCCTGACATAAAACATGCAGGAGATCTGGAACAGATCCCCTCACATACCTCATACACTCAAAACATTAAATGTACAGAACAACAACAACAAAGAATGTTAAAAGCTGAAAGAGAAAAAGACAAAGTAAATATAAAGGTAGACCTATTAGAATTATACCCTACTTCTCAGTGGAGACTTTAAAGGCCAGAAAGCCCTGGACAGATGTGCTACAGATTGTAAGAGACCACAGATGCCAACCCAGACTACTAGACCCAGCAAAACTTTCAATAACAATAGATGGGGAAAATAAGATTTTCTATAATTAAACTAAATTTAAGCAGTATCTACCAATCCAGCTGTATAGAAGGTACAGACGGAAAATGCCAACCTAAATAGGAAAACACAGGGGAAAAAATTCCAGACCAACAAATCAAGAGGCAAAACATACACACATTTCAATAGCAACAACAGCAAAGTAACAGGAATCAACAAACACAGTTCACTGCTACCTCTCTAAATCAACTGTCTCAATCCCCCAATAAAAAGACATAAACTAACAGAATGGATAGGAAAACAGGATCCATCCTTCTGCTGCATCAAAGAAAAACAACTTAACATTGAGAACAGACATCACCTCAAGGTAAAATGATGGAAAACGATATCCCAAGCAAATGGACCTACAAAGTCAAACTATGTATACATTTTAATATCCAACAAAATAAGACTTCAAACCAAAAATAATAAGGAACTACATACACATCAAAGAAAATAGCTACCAAAATGATGGTGCAATTCTTAACATCTATGCCCCATACACAAAGCCACCCAAGTTAAAAAAAAAAAAAAAAAAAACCACTACAGCTTAAAGCACATATTGAACTGCAAACATTTATAGTAGTAGACTTTTAAAACCCTACTCACACCAATAGACAGGTCATCCAGACTAAAAACTGAACAGAAAATAATGTGGGAGCTAGCCGTGATAAGCTAAGTAAGGAAGTTCTTTATTTCCAACCATTATCACCTGCCAGAGTAGAACTCGGCCATCAATAAATTTAATAAGAGGCCTGAGTCTGAGTAGTTTACCCTGAAGTGATACCTGGTAGCAGGAAAAACCATAAACTGAGATTACCTGAGCACCACCCAAGAACAGACCATCCAAAGGAAATGCCTAACATTCCAACCACTGTAGATAGGATCACCTGCCAGAACACACTCACCAGCACACCCTGAAGCAAATGTCAGCAAATCATGGGTCCTAAACTTCAGAAACCCCTCACCTCCACCTTTGCTACTATAAAAACCCAATTCTAACTGAGATCGGGGCTCTCTGTTTATTCAAATACGTTGGACATGGGGAGAGACCAAGTTTGCAAACTTGATTAAAATAAAGGCTCTTGGCTTTTACATTCGAGTCTCAGTTTCCTTGTTGGCTTTTGAGGGGACTTCACGGATTTGGGCATAACAGAGCTAACATGTTATAAACAAAAGATACTTGCAGAACATTTCATTCAAACACGAAAGAATATACCTTTTTCTCAGCACCTCATGAAACTTTCTCCAAAACAGACCACATGTTTGGACAGAACGCAAGTCTCAACAGATACAAAAAAATTTAAATAACACCCTGTGCCCTATTTGATCACCAAGGATTAAGATATTAATAACAGATATTAAGAACAGAAACAACAGAAAACTTACAAACTCATGGGAACTGAACAACTTACTACTGAATGAAAAATAGGTCATGACAGAAATTAAAGACTGGCTAGAACTGAATAAAAAATACATAACATACACAAATTTACAGAACACAATAAAGTTGGCCCAAAGAGGCAAGTTCATAGCACTAAGTGCTTATTTTAAAAACTGGAAAGATTTTTTTTACTAGTAACTTAAAAGCACAACTAAGAGCATTAGAACAAAAGAAATCAGACCCAAAAGTAGTAGACTGTAAAAAATAACCAGACTTGGTGCTGAAATCAATAAAATAGAAACAAACAAATAGAAATACAAAGAATCATTGAAGTAAAGGGTTGGTTCTTTGAGAAAATCAATAAGATTGACGAATCCTTATCCAAATTAATTAAAAGGCAAAGAGATAAGATCCAAATTTTAAAAATTAAAATGAAAAGGGGGACATAACAAAAGACACTGAGAAAATCAAATGAATCACAAGGACATACTTTAAAAACCTGTACTCCACCAAACTGGAAAATCAAAAAAGTAATATTTTTTTCAATATACACAATTTATCAAAGTTAAATCAAGATCAGATGAACAGCTTAAACTGACCTATAACCCCTAGTGAAATGGAAAC